TCTCTCTTTTGGCTTTAAGTAAACCTGCTCCTTCAAGGCTGTGCCATCAACAGGGTCTGGCTCAAGTTTCACCACTAAATCTTAGTCAACAATCTCTAATCTGGACACTGGGCTCGGGATTCAGGCTCAGGTTGCAGTTGGAAGCAGACAACAGCGACAAGGGGGTGGAGGGGCCAGGGGAAAAAGGCAACCTTTGTTTCACATCTGATTGTCCAAGCAGGCCTGAACTGAGGTCATGTGTCATTTTTTTGTCATCAACAAGATAAAAGTTTGCATCACTGTGGCCTTGAAATTGCCTTCTTGACACTTATATTAAGTATAGAAAATATATATGTCCAAGAATCATGGACACAAGTTTGTGGTGCAGCTCAGATTTGGAGTTCTTTTCATCTTTCTGACATGTGATACCCTGCCATAAGCTGCCTGCAGTGAGGTTGCTATGCAGATATACAATTTCTGAAAAGTTACACCAGGAAAACTAAAACCTACTGCTGGATTAGCTTTTCACAAAGAAGCAGGATAAAATGTGTAGCCGATAAACTAAAAAGGTGAATTAAAGTTTCATGAAAACAATCTCCCTAAAAAAGGATCAATAAGTATAAAAGTATCTTGTTGCATTCCTGGCCTTTGGTCTGATGGCTTAACCCAGCTACTGTATATAATAAAGGAGATACTTTGTGTTTCATGGCAGAAAGTGGGGGGATAGAGGGGAAAGAAAAGCCAACCAAATTTCAACTCTCTTTTTCGTCATTGTTGCTGCCTCACGATCATTTTATTTTGAAAAATAAAGACTGGGATAAAAAAAAATATTGTCCAGGGCGTAGAGCCAAAAATATGCCAGCACTTTCCCTCCTCACCCCACCCTCAGCCTCCTAGGCCAAAAGCCTTAACAAAAGCTGTTTTCTGTGTGGAAGATCTCTGGGTCCTCCTCTCTCTTTCCTAACCCCTAACACAGGAAATGATTTTATAATTCACATTGTTAAGAAATTCAACTCCCCACCCCCATTCTCTGGATGCCAACCTACAATAAGGCTCTGGCCTGTCTCTTTTCCTCTCTGACCCTTTTGTGTCAAGCTCCTCTACCTGACCCTGCTTGTAAATCACTCTTTGGACCTCTCCACCAGCAAGTCAATGGCAGGATTTCCCTAGGGCTCTGAGGCACTTCTGTTTCGCTCCTGGTGACTGCTCCAGCCACTCCCCAAATGCTCCGGCATCCTGAATGACTGCTGTGTGGGTTCGTTTTTTCTCCTGGTGGAACATTCCATCATAGCGGAGACAGTTGTTCATTCCTTAAAAAGCTACCTGTAGACTAAAAAGAGCACTGTAGAGGGGGAGGAGAGGAGCACAAAATGATTTATAATCCATTAATACATACCACTGAGGTGTTTTTTCAAGGGCCCAGACTAATAATAACAATTAGTAGCTAATAATTCTTCACACTTCGCACTTACAGAGTACTATTAAATCTCAAAGGTGGCTGACATGGATAAGTCATTTACACTACCTGAGCCTCACTTGCCAACTTTAAGCAGTTAAAATCTTGCAGTGTCGTGGATGATTATTGTACTTAATTTGTATAAGGCCACACTCCTGATTGTGAAGTCATTTTTCATTTGGTGCTCAGACCGAAGACAATGAAATTCTGCTGGCGGAGGCCAGGAAATTCAAGATTGGGAAATTGAGGAGCAGGAAAGTGATGTGACCCACCCAAGGTCACACAGCAAGACAGTGGTAATAAGCTCCTGACTCCAAGTCCAGTGTTCTATCCCAGTAACTTCCAGGCCTGGCTACCACAGAGGGCCTGATACCCCACTGCATTACTTCACTGAGTTACTCCCATGTAAAACTGGAGTAAACACAGTGATGAATCAAGCCCAGACTGTCTATTGACTTTATTATCCATGCTAGATGCAACATGCCTACAGGCTCAAGAGTATGTCCTTATAACAATGCTACCGCAATCACTCAAAGTTCCGCAGTATTTTGCTACTACTGTATCCTACAGCTCTTATGAGTGGCAATGTTTTAGATTATGCCTGTAGAATAATTGATATTGTTATTATTTCTTATTTAAATTTGATTTTAGTGTGTCCTCTTCTTCCAAGTCAAAGATCCAGAAGTGCTCAGACTAACAGTTGAGTTTGATCAGGATGCAATGGAGCCTAAAATAGTCTTAGGGGCAAATGCCACTGTCAGTTACATCTCTGTAAATCCAGAATCATTCCACTGAAACCAACATTTATCAGAGTAAAGAAAAGCAGAATCTGGCCCTTCATTTATGCACATAACTGTTATTAAGTGAAGCCTTGTGGTCGTCTCACTACGTATTCTGAGCCCATTTTTAAAAGCAAGGCATCAAAGTTTGGGCCACCACTTCCATAGATAGGCACTCCAAATGGCACTGAAATGCCTAATGAGTGTATCTGGGCGAGTGTTAATTTGGATGTCCAAGTAAGGCCTTGGGAATGAGATATCCTATTTAGATAATTATGTTGGTAACTTTGGCCCATAGTGACTATTTGAACAAAGCAAATTCATTTCAAACGTTTAACAAGGGAAAAACTCATGAAATACTGTCATGTGATAGGACATTTTACTTCACAAAAGTGGAGTAAATATTTTTACATTTTTTATTTTGTTCTGAATCCCCCTCAGTCAGTACAGGAGGTAATTAATTCAGGGTCTTTACAGGGCTCTGTCCTTCTTTTTTTTTTAGTCAAGAGAAAAATTCTCACTGCCTTCTATGAGAGCAGGAACAAGCCTTTATTCAATGAGAGCCTATGCTGCTTTCTCACAAAAAAACCTCTTGTTAATTTCAGTGGCAGCATGAAGAAATGCAGGCCTGAGATATAGTTTGTTAGAGACCTAGTCTAAAGCTTCTTCTATTCACCTTGTGAAAAGATTCTGTGTATCTCAGAACTGTGCATATGGAAGAACTGCAATGACTTCTCTTATGGGTAGGAACCTACCTGTGGATCTCTCAGGGCATCCTGCCTTTCTTTGGTTGCCTTCTAGGTATTACACTCTCTCAGAAAAAAAACTGGCTTGGTCATTGCAGCTATATTGTGTGTAATAAATAATAATAATAGTGAGCAAGCATAATAGTGTGCTACTTTGCTGAGATCCCATTAATCACAAAGGAACAAATGTATCCCTTGCTAATTCTACTCATTTTGTTGGGTTTGTACCAGGAATGAATTTGGCCTAAAAAAAAAAAAAGTTTTCCTTTGCATGATGTATCATACCATTTGGTCTAGTTAGTTGAAGTTTCATGTGTACTCAGACACTTCTTCATTGGAGTGCAGCTGTCGATGGCAAACAGTGAACCAACCAAACTACACAAATTCTGATTTAGAAATTGGGATGGTTTGATAAATATAATCTAGGCAAATTTTCACAAATCCAAAGTTGTTGTGTAGCCCACCTTCAAATTGTATTGCTTTCTGAACCTCATGCTTACCTTGTGATTTTTTTTTTTACATATTTTATTTCTGGAAAAAATAATTACAGAGAAAGAGAGAGATTGTAATCTTGAAAACGAAAGGGTTTTCAGAAGGGTCGCAATGTGTGCTAACAATCCTGGACAACTGACAAAAGCAAAATCAATATACACAGCCATCCTGGCATGGCCAAGTTCAGATGATTAAATAAAGATACAGGAAGTTGCTTACTAGGAAGGCAAGCTTTGGTGTACAGTTCCTTCAGAGCTGGCATGCGCAGTACCTTGCTTGTTGTATTTACCATGAAGCGTAAATGAAATCATCCCTCCAAAAGCAACAGAGCTCACCGAACATTTCAAAGTCCTCTAACAGTGAGGAACCAACATTGTGAATCCATAGGATAAAACTTGAAAGTTGAACACCACTGTATGATATTATTCAGAGCCTAATATGTGGGAATATGTGTAGACATTACAGCAACGTAGGTGAGAGTTCAGTGTGTGAAGATACTGAGAGTTGTGTCCTTACAGAAGATGGAAGAAATGAGTTGAAGCCTCAATCCTGCATGAAGTGCACTCAGGCTTCAACACTTGCACAGAGCTCCATTTAAGTCAATGAGGCTCTGCCCAGGATAATGGTCCAATCATATGGAGCTCTTTGAAAGATCAGGGCCTAACTCAACACTTTGAAGTGCTTTTCCCTTCCAAGATCACAATGGAAACTGAGATATCATCAGAGAGGAAATAGCGTGAACATAGATTCAGCCTCTAAGAACCATCCGTCCATCTGTCTCCAATGGTTGTTTCCTGGTTTATACCTAAATTGTAAGCTTTGGGGTCAGGGACTGACTTTTTGTTTTGTATTTGTACAGTGCCTAGCACAGTGAATTACTGGTTCATGACTAGGGCTCCTAGGCAGTACTGCAATACAAGTAATAATAAAAATAACACTTGTCAGGGTGCTTTTGCTTTCTAGATTTCAGATTGAATTTTGCTTGATCTGTGATCAGTCAGGGAGAGAAAAGAACAACTTTACGTGCACAGGAAAAAAAAATAAAACAACAGCACATTTAAGTGCGTTTTTTTTCTTGGAGATTTATTTTCCTTTAATAAATCTGACACCAGTCAGGGAAAGAGAAAAGTGTTGTGAGCCCAGAAAGGAAGTGAGCACATTGAAAGTGCTTCGTGTCCCTTTTTTCTTGGAGATGTTTCTCTGGTAGCTCTTAGTAACTTCCCCGAGGCTTAGGAGCTCCCCCTCCCACCCAATATTTTTTAAAAAGCGAGCTCACTTGCCTGGTGTGTTTTCCAAGCTTTCACAGCCCTAATAAATAAGGAGCACCTGTAAAACAGTAGCTTGACTTGTTAAGTGACTTTGTACAAAGGAAAATATAGAAATACAGTATATACATAGTGCTCATAGTGCACCATCACTACAAGGCTCTGGTGTGACTGGCTTTGATACCCTGCTCCCAACTTCACTGAGACTAATAGGGACACTTCTTTTGCAAACTGCTTCTTGGTTCCTAACAGCAGCCTTATAGAAGAGGTGTACTCTGAACACTTGAGAGTGAACAATTGCTTTATTCAAGTTAGTAAACAGTTACACTGAATCACAAGGTGATTTGTATTTTTTTTCTTTTTTGTATTTGTCAGAATGGGTTACTCCACAACTGTCTTACCAATTCAGTGCCAGTCTACATGCTCTAGTGTACTTTTGGACTCTTGGCTACAACTGTACAAGTGCACACAAGTAAATTCTACCCTGTTATCCTCCACCCACTGATTGAGGATTGAATTGCACATTTCTCTTAACCATGACAGGAGAAAGCAAACAGTGAAACAGAATCATGGGGGAATCTTTCTCACTTTACCCCTTGTTTTCATTGGTTTGTCCATACCATTCTAATTATCATGAAAGGGCTATGCATATGGAGAGATTGTCTCACTGGCTTCCTGGATCACTGAAAACCATCAGGGTTGAAATTTCATCCAAGTCTTTCGTGACGCCCAGCAAATATTCCCCTCAGATTATTTTACACCTTGAGGGAATTTTGGTCTTTAGTTCAACACTCTTGCTCTGTTCCCAAATGGGGCGCTATTTAGGGGAATTTAAAGAGAAAGCTGAGAAGAATAAACATTTACTGAGTTCTCTTGGCATTCAGGCTCTGAAAAACCACAGTATAAACTATTCATGCTGCTTCTTACATCTGTCAAATCAAAAATTAAAAGCCATAAAAGTGTAACACTGAAAATATGGCATTAAAAAGGATAAAGGTGGCCTTTGTAAAAATAACAAGGAAAGTATATTAGCCAATAAAATATTCTAACTCTTCCTTTAAAAGTGCATCATGGGTAGGACAGAGATGACTCTGAAGCGTTGCTACTCCAGTAAAACCCCTTTCCCCCATCAAAACGTGACTAGGTCCAAAACCATACAATGCAAATCACGATTCTTAGTGTAGCAGCAAAACCACAGCAGTTTTTGAAAAAAAAAATCCATATCATTGTCCAGTCTCAAATATCTGAATCTTGAAATCAGAGAGGGAAAAGTACCTACATTGGTCCGGGTGGTTTTTGAAACCAGAGGGAAAAATTCCCCAGCAAGAAACCAAGAGGAAAACATGTTCCTCCAAGGAGAAGAGGAGGTGGTAGTGGGAATGTGAAGCACATTACGTCGGTCCATGATAGGCTATCTTCTGGGCCAAAGGCACCCGTGGGACTGAGGCTTCCTCTGAGAGACTTAAGGACAGAAGCTGCTTTATTTGTTTGACTTTTAGCCAGACGGGGTGGTGAGCGGCCCAGCTGGCATCATTCGGTGAAGTGACATGGTTTGCTCTGCTCCCTTTCTCCATGCAAGGTACCCTGTCAGTGAGCATTCCTGTAAAACAGACAAGAGGAGCTGGTCAGAAAGCGTTGGGGATGATTCATTGCAGGGAATGTGTGCACAAACTTGGGAACGCAGCTTAAAGCCCTGAGGGCAGCTTATGTAAGGACACTGGCTTCACTGCTTCATCCTCAGGTATGTCTGCCTGATACTACCAGGGCTGTGAGTACATGGAGAAGTCAGCAAAGCCTCCTTTGCAGCAAGATTGGTGGAAGTATATTAGAACATGGAGAACAAGCTCCTTAGAACAAGCTTAGAACAAGAGAGAGACACAATCATAATTAATACTTTTTGCCTCCCGCCTTTTAGTCTAGCAGATCAAAGGTGAGTAATAACCTCTTGCAGTTATCCAGTGCTCTTCACCTATGGATCTCAAAGTACTTTACAAAAGTATATGTACCATTATCTCCATTAAACAGATAGAAGGACTGAGCCAAGCAGGATATTTGATTTGCCCAGGATCCCACAGTGCCATGAATAATGGTAGCATTGGGAAGACAGCACATATCTTCTACCTCTCATTTGCTTGTTTTAACTATCAGTAGAACCTCAGAATTACAAACACCGGAGTTACAAACTGACCAGTCAACTACACACCTCATTTGGAACCAGAAGTATGCAATCAGGCAGGAGCAGAGACAAAAAAAAAAAAAATTCAAATACAGCATAATACTGTGTTAAACGTTAACTAAAAAAATAAAGGGAAAGTTTTAAAAAAATATTTGACAAGATAAGGAAACTGTTTCTGTGCTTGTTTCATTTAAATTTAGATGGTCAAAAGCAGCATTTTTCTTCTGCATAGTAAAGTTCCAAAGCTGTATTAAGTCAGTGTTCAGCTATAAACTTTTCAAAGAACAACCATAAAGTTTTGTTCAGAGTTACGAACAACCTCCATTCCTGTAACTCTGAGGTTTTACTGTACTCCTGGTTGTCTCCCAGTAATTAGCCCTTCTCCCTTTTTTAAGCTATCACAATTTAAAAAAAAAACTGTCTGAATACAATGTTTAGCTTCAGTATATTAAAGTCATGGATCATGCCAAACGTATCTTTCCATATCTTCCCTCTGAGTGGCAGAGCGTTTGGGTCTGTACTGCAACCTAAGAGGAAGGGGGTTAAAATACCAAACCCTAACTAAGAGATGGGGTTTTCTCATATATCGGAGTTTTTTTTATTTCTGAGTGAAACATTGAGCTTACTGTGGAGAACTGGACTCAGCAGTGACAGGTGAACAACTCATCCTGGACACCAATGTTAGAGTTTGGTTGTTTATTCATGTAATTAGGCTTACTGTGCACTTGTACTCTAAGCACATTAGAAGGTTTTGAAACACACACCTTAATAAAGAATATTAGAGCAAGTTTAACAAATCTGCACCGTGCCCAGAAAACCTTCTCATCACCCTGCCTCCATCATACCCTGCATGACAGACTTCTCGATGACCCCCCTCTCCCTCCTCACTCAGTCTTCCCAGAGGAGTGCCTGACCATGTGTCCTGAAGATCAGCAACTCCAGGCTCTGGTGAGCAGGCAGAAGAGAGGCCAGAACCCATGTTTCTCACCTAGAATGCCCTTCTGCCAACCTCTTCAGTTATACAATTATATAAACAGGGCTGACTCAGGCAAATGCATGGCCCCTTGCAAAGCCATGTGATTGCTCCCAGCTGAAAGCCCCAAGATGCAGCATGATACTTTCTCTCCCCCATATAACCCCACCCCATGCAAATGCCATGCCAGCTGAGGATGAAGTGAGTTCATTTCCATGAGAGTAGGGTGGAGGCATAGAATAGGGGAGCAGGCAGTGTATGCAGAAGTGCAGAACTAGTGTTTATGGAGGGAATTAGGGGAACGGTGGGTCAAAATTACCTATCAAACGGAAGGGCAGGGAGCAGTGATGTAGCCCAGCGTTGCACCAAACAGGGAGATACCTCCCTTTCCCAAGGGGCTCAGTTATCATCACAGAGATCTCTAGCTGCTGCTCACTCTCCCAACCATGTGGCATTGAAACATGCATATTAAACCTCCCACTAGCTGTAGTGCCCCCATGACCTGGGCAGCTCTGCTGGCACCATGCTCTGTGGCAGCCCTGAATATGCTTTATGCTTCTTCCACTCTTTGCCATGAGGACGACAGGAGTTGTGCATGGGACATAAGTACAGAGACATAGGGTATCAGAGAAATTCACACTGCAGGTAAGGGAACAACAAAGTAGACTGAGGAGGAAAATGTTGCCCAGTGCACATACTGAGACTGATAATATGCTTTAGGATTTCCCTCTCAGGTTTTAGAGAATAATGGAGTCCAAGCCATAAGATGGTCTCAGTGTGCACCCAAAGCATTGGGACTGTTTTACAGAATTAAGAAAATACACAGTAGCTTATTTACTTTTATAGTCTTTGAGATGAAGTTACAGGCAGGGAATAGGCATGCAGGAGAGGTAGAAGATAAAACTCCTTGCATAATACTGTAACCCAGACTAGCAGAGTGAGGAGTTTGTCCTGTCTAGTGGCCAGTCCACATAAGAGGTTTATGGATCAACTACTGCCTCTAATTAATGAAGCTATAGCCCTTTACCTCAAGCAGTAGAGGCTCATGTTTTGAGCACTGAAGGTCCTCCTGGGTTCATACCTTGCTGTCAGCCTAAGCAGAAAGTCAGTTACAATAGAGTTTGTGATCATCTTAGACCCTTGAGCTGAGAGCTCTGTGATATAAAACACTACACACCTATATACATAGTGAGAGGGTATAAAACACTAACGGAAAACAATTTTTGTCATTCTTACTTTTTTCAGTCTTCAACTCCATCCGCAGCATCAAATTGTTCAGAAACAATATGGCGACTGAGCATTAGGCTTAGTCCCGGGTGATCATTGATGTGGGCTGGCGGAGTTTTCCGTCTTTTAACACAGTACTTAATTCAACCAGGCAATGAACATGAAAGCTGTTGATGCGCCAGAAGATGCCTGGTTCATAAATGGCCCCAGGGCGAAGGCAAGCCCATAATTTTCTCAGGGAGGCTCTGCTGAAGTCATAACCACAGGAGTGCAGCTGACGCAGGCATGGGAGCATGTTCAGCCCTGTAAACTCGCTGGGGTCATCTGTTATTTGTAATAGCTCAGTGCTTTTTAGCAACTCTCCAAGTAGTTCAAGCTTTACCATTAAAACCTTCCCCTTTGAACAGTGAGTGATTTATCTTTCCTCTCCATGACATTATAGAAAAGGCACCACATCACTCAAGCTGGGGAAAGCATTTCTGCACACAGAGCTCTGACATTTTATTTCAGAGGGGACCCAAGGAGAAAGTTAGCTGGGCTCAAATTCAGAGTTCCTTACACAGTTCTTACCACGACAAATTCCCATTAACTTCAAGGGTATTTTTTTTTCATTCATGTCCTGCAAACTCTGGGTCTTTTGTTAACAATGGGTCAGATATGCAGCCCCTGGCCTCCCACTCCTGGCAGTTGGAGCTCTAACCTGTACAGACCTTAAAATCCAAACAGGGATGCGTGGGACTTACTCTGTGTGGCCGAGCAGGGCTAGAGACAGTATTGTCGTAAGGGAACTGTGATATTGAATTGTCATACAGATACATTGGAGTTTGCCTGTAGATAATGCAATGGTCTCTGTCAATTTTATATTTAGGGAAGAACTTTCTGGGAGAAACTGGGAAAGAATAGGAGAAAGGATGCCAACTGCTAACTACTGCTTCTCTGTCTAAGATCTGCACCTATTCCTAGAAAAGCCTTCAGTGAAATTGCACCAGGTTAAACTAGGTCTAACTCTGGACCTTTTTCTCTAACCTAATTTAGCCTATCCATTTGGACTAGGGTATACTGTTAAATTAACCACTGGAATTTGTAAATATCGGCTGCTGCCATCTGACAAGGCTATTCGCCTGACCCTTGTCAGGTGATTAGAGCCAAGAAATACAGCTGAGACTTTTACTAGTACTCCTGTATGTCAAAAGTCAACTAAATCACTGGCAAAAATGGAGCAAATAAAACCCACAGAGTCCCTCACTCTGGACAGGAACTTGAGAGTTAACAGGAGGCAGTGGTTGCAGTTCTTCCAAATTTACCAGGGAGCAAGTCCTATGGAAGAGCAATAGGAGAGAAATCCCACCCACAGGTGCCAAAGGTAACAGCAGAGCTGCCAGGTGAGACCATTGGCCACTCTTAACAGCACTCCTGCGCTTCACACCTTTCATACAGGAACTACAATCCAAGAGTAAGGAGGAGAAATCCCTACCAAACAAAAGAGGGAAAGGAAGAGCAGATAAAACCAGGGACAAAACAGGTAAAGGAGAGGGAAGAAAAAAAATTAGAATATTTTGCCAAAAAAGTCACACATGTTGCTCTGTGAAAAGAAGAGGCTGGGGGCAGGTGCAGGATGAACAACAGCATCTTGCTCTGAGCCCCTCACCCCACCCAAAGAAAGGAGAGTTGAGATGGAGGCTCATCTCTTTTCTACACTGTCAGGCCAGGTGCTGAATAGCACCTCAAAGCTGAATAACAATATGCTGCTATGGGAATTTTGTGGGTCTTTGGCACCTTTGAAAAGCAAGCTGAATATCGAAAAATGGAGGCACTCAGAATCTGTGGTAACTTTTGAACATTTGTTTATCTAGCAAGAGCACTTGCTACCCTTTTTTATTGCTTTGGTTTTTGCTCTGAGACGGTTCTAATGAGCAGCTGTGACTACTGCAACACAAAGACAGATAGGACCACACTGTATGGATGCTATATACATGGCTCCCAGCTCCAGGTGAGGTAAGGGAACATATGGAGAGGATAAATGGAATCTCTTCTCCCCCCTTATAGCCTACACACATGCGGCCCCAAACACAAAGGGACCTTCATAAATATTGAGCCCTGAATGCATATGTAGCTCTCCTTTAAAGCCAATGAGAACAGATTCACATGTGTGCACGAGTGAGCAGAAATTGGCCCTGTGTTTGGTTCCATGGAGTGGGGGTTGGGTATGGTGTGACTGTACGCC